TTATATCTTATTGTGTCTCGACGTTAAACACGTTAAACATGATGTGTAAACTGGTCAATAGAATGATAATTAACCCCAAAAAATTTATTTGCATCGCTAAAAAAACTATTTTACTATTAACCACAAAACCAATGGGTTTTTGCTAGTATATTCATAACGTTATGATACTGGATTTTGGGCTTCAAACAAAATCAGTGCATATGAAGATAATGGTGAATAAATGTGAAACACAACTAAATTGATTTACTACTATTGAAATCTTTGTGATTATAATTTATTGTCATCATAATTAACATATATCTGCTTTAGTGTTATTAACTCTATTATTATTATTATTATTATTATCATTGTATTATTATAGTTTATTGAAAGATAATATAACAGTTGATTCATAATGAGCAGGCATAAGAGTTGTTCATTGTTTAAAAGAAATTTTATTAAATAACAACATAATTACATAGTTGTGTGATTTTTTATTAATCTCCGCTTAAATAAAATATTTTAAAAAATTTTTTTTTTATATACTTAACCGGTTACGGGTTTTTTGACTGATTCTAACCTCTATATAAAAGGCTTCTTTGAATTGTAAAAATGGTCCTTTGATGAATTGTAGAAAATTACTTTTGACATTATCATAATAAATTTAAATTCAAAAAAATATATTTTTGGCGGATTGTAAAAGCTTTTTTTGAATTACAGAAAATGGTCTTTTGACAAATTGTAAAAAAAGACTTTGACATTATCCCATAAATCATTTAAATTGCAAAAGGCATCTCTGAATTGTAAAAAATGGTCTTTTGGCGAATTGTCTCTTGACATTACCCTAATAAATCATAAAAAATATACTTTTGACGTGAATTTTAAAAGGTTTTTTTGAATTTTAAAACAATTATTCTTTGGCAAATTATAAAAAAAGACTCGGCATTATCCTAGCAAATCATTTAAATATCATAAAAAACAGACTTTTGGCGCGAATTGTAAAAGGCCTTTCTTGAATTGTAAAAATGGTCTTTTGGCGAACTGTTTGGTAGAATATAAAAAGGGTAAGTATTCCAACTTCTTTTACTATAATTGAAGTAATATCTTTGATATAATTAATAAACTGTCAACTAATTATCTATATATGTGATTGCTTATTGCAATTTTTCTCTTTAAAAATCAATTATTTTTAATAACCTACGTAATATGCATTTATCTATTTTTTTTTAATTTGTAAAATGTATTGCGTAATTCTATGCTAATATTAACGTTATTTTATGCACATGATATAGACATTATTCATTATATTCATTATGAACTTACTGCGGCCAGTTTATTTGTTTGTCTATTTGTACGTTTATTCGTTTATTTAATATTAATTATTATTGTTACTTATTTGAATATTAAACTTTCCTTTTAAGAAATATCGATGTAAATCATGTGGGAACCGGTTTGCGGTTCCATGATCGGATCGGTTCAGATCCAGTTCCCTAGTACTAGTGGAACCGCCCCATTCTTAACACTCGCTACATGGTATCCCTAAACTCTTATAATTAAAAAATGATTTTTAAATTCTATCGAAAGGAAGAGGGATGTTCTTGATAGACAGAATAATTTTGCGTTTCGTGTTGGTTAAGCTGCTTTTTGTTCTATATGATTTACTTGCATATAATGCAAATCTCTGAATGGTTGCTGTTGTTGCTGTTGTTGTCACCAATCTCGACATTGGGTAATGTGTAATGTTTAATTTTTTGAAAGGAACCTTATGCATGTATGTATGCATGTTAATCTCGGGAGGGAATACCTGTTATTATTATTTATAAGGAATATAAAAACTTGTGTAACATAAAATTTGTTTATTTATTTACTTAATGGGAATGGTCCTGATTGAAAATCACCAGTTCATTCGGAAAAGAAACATTTAATATTAATACTAAATATTTAGCCCGATACACGATATACCACTTAAGGATATAAACTTCTCTATATTTTTTCTATTGTCGTGCATTTACCATATAGCAACGTTATTTATTGACATGATGCGGATTTTCCTTTAACTTCTCTTAATCTCTGTAAATAGAAATCACTTGCTCTGGATTGAAACAACTACATGATTATAATGTTTTGCATATTTGAGTAAGTAACCAGTCAAATAAAAATTACCAAATTGCAAAAGCAAATAAAAATAATTACAAATATTACATTAATTGAATTAAAAAAAGGAAGAAAACAATTAATAGATTGATAAAATAAAACAATAGATATTAATATGCATATATTTTATCTACCGTTAGTTTCCATTATAAATGTAATAATAAGGGATAATAAACTTTCCGAGAAAATAGCTATTTTTTTATAATTATTATTCAATTTACTTTTACTAGAAAAAAAAATTAAAAAAAAAAAATAATAATTTTAAAATTTTTTTATATATTATAACAAAAATTATAAAACATAATAACCTTTAGGATTTTGTTTAAAATCAGAAGATTTAATAATTACTAATCTAATAACAATTATTTTGTCGATATATTCTCTGGTTTATTTTCACAATATATGAGGGAAACCTTTCCAGACGAAACGTTCCTTATTATTATTGTAGAGATTTCACGTGAGCTACCAGCAAATGAAAAGATTTAGAAGAACAAATATAACAAAATCTTATTTTGGAATTTTGGCAAAGAAAATAGAAAATGATTTCTCCTGAAAACGTTGCTACATCGTCATCTTCGTCGTCATCATCATCATCATCATCATCATCATCATCATCACCATCATCACCATCATCATCATCATCATCATCATCATCATCATCATCATCATCATCATCATCATCAATCAACGCTGAAGTTTACAATGATGACGTATTTGATACAGTAGAGAGCGAACCATCGGTCCAGGATAATACTCAGTGCTCGACTCAAGAAGTAGACCCCAGGCGTTTGCCTCAAGAAGAATTCAATCAACAGTTGTCATTACTCAACCGTTATCAACAATATATAGATAACAACGACAATAATATTAATAATATTATTAGCACCAATGAACCGACTACAATGGCAACATTTACTCTACATCCAAATATCATCCAGGCTATGACGGATCAATGGTCAGATAGCGTATATTACGGACTATCTGAAACTAATAATACCAACATCGATATTAGTCATTTTTATTACGGAGAAAATCTAATTGGTTATAACAGCCGATATTCTGACTTTATATATACATATATGAACTCAAAAATTAATATAGTTTAGTGTGATAATAAGCAATTAAGATGATTGTTATTAAGATACATCATATTATTATTATATTACTCGTTAATTCCATGGGTCTGGCACGCAAATTTTATGAATTTATCGAATTATGCCATTATCAAGAGTTGCTCTTGAATTTCACAATATAATAAGACTAGGAAATATAGAGACTTTTCTATGAAAGATAAAAAAAATTTATTGTAATATATATAGTTATAACAAATAATAAAAAATACTAAAAAAAAATCATTATTCATTTGTAACAAAATCATTCATAGTTGATTGCTTCATATTGTCTAAATAAAATTTAAATAATTGCGAATGAAAATTTCTTTAACAGGAAAATTTTGAATTTACTGCTTGCGTAATAATAGTAATTATTATCCATATTTTTATGGTTAAACGCGACGTTGGTTAAAGACACCCGTCGTATTTAGTAATTGCAGATCACAAATAATTCAAGAAAATTTTCTCACGACTAACATGACTAATAATGCTAATGACAATAATTATATTAATCTTGCAGTAGTTGTATCTATTTGCGGCAACTGTGTCTAAGGCAAGTTTAGTTTGGGTGTTCCACATTATATGATTTACTATTACAAAACATGGTCGAGCACGCATAAATTTCATATTAATATACGGAGGTTCTCTTGGTTTTGATGTCCTCTGACGAAATTTAAGTTTTTTACATAGTATATACTGTAAGTTATAAGATGAAAATATTAGACCTCTGTTTACTTAGGAAATTTATTATAATTGTAACCACAGGCATTTACTATTAATATTATTGCATTAATAGTAAAATTTAATACCAAAAACTTGGAAATCAAATCTCTTGTTAATAATATTTTTAAAATCTTTTTAAAAAGGAAATCATTGAGTTTATTATATTTAATATGTGATGTTATATGTTACTAATAAAATAATCATAGTAATAATAATAATAATAATCATAATAAATATAACAATAGTAGTGGTGGTGGTAATAAAACTATACAATCTATGTTTTTTCTTTAATAAATAATAAAATTTCACAAATGATTATTAATCAATCGGTTATGTTAAATCAACCCTTTTTCTTGTTCAATCAAGTCCTGAAAAGCAAATTATTCATGCGTGATTTTCATTTAGCTGATAGTTTTACAACTACGGCTTTAAATAAAAGGATATGCTGGGCTGGGCTGGTTCTTAATTAATTACTCTTTAGAATTTTGATCTATTATTTTGTTGTAATTATTAATTTTTGTCAGCCAATACATTGCAACTACGACGATAATTAAATAAAAAGTTACGATGAGCCGAGCTTGTTATTTTTTTAATAAAATATTAAACAATAATCAATTATATAATTAATATTAATTGTTCATTTTTCACGCGTGCTGTCAATTATTTTGTAATGCTGTGTATTAAGGGTGGTGTTTGATCGTTACAACACTAATAATAAATGAATCGACTATATAAAGAAACAAGAATTGCCCCAAGACCAGAACGTTTATTAAGAAATTGGTTTAACGTGAGGGATCATTACGTATGATTGACAAATAAAAAAAAAATACATTCCAAATAGTGTTGTAACAATTATTTGTTTGAGTGAAGGAACAATTGATAATATATTTAATCAGATGAATAATTTGTGTATATACTAGAAAATAGTTTTTCAAGTCAAAACTTGTTAGAAATATTTATACATTGAATCTCGTATTCCTTTTCTAATTAGGATTGCATATTCCATCAGATTTTCCCGAATGTTCAGAATCGCGGACAACATTAAATAATAATAATAATATGCTGCAGCATAACATTCCGCAAAATTATTGAGATGAAATACACAAATTTTCGAAAAGAAAGTAAATAAATAAATAATAAATTGTTATTAACCATCCAACAAATCTTCGTGATAAAAACCATTATGTTCTTCCTGTTGTTATGCCGTTGATGAACAGATGAGGACAATATCAAACGTGTTTGAGGGAAGAAGTTGACAAAGGAGAAGATAATTCCAAAGGAGTCCGATATGGTGATGAATTTCTTGGATTTAAAAAGTCCACCTGGTTGCTTTCACATCCAATAATAACTTCTTACTGATGCACAACCATCCAAAAACATGAAATGGGATGTGATACTTTTGCATATGTAATCTGTCACTGAATTAAATCTTTTTGGTTTGTTATATACTGTACTACAGAGATTTTCACAATCTTCATCTTCTTTCAAAAAGTCATTATATACTTGGTATGAAATTTTGAACATGTTAACATAATTATCGTTATCATCTATTTTAATAACTTTGTGGTCACTTACAATCTCACCAGAAAATTATTGCCAATGTCAATGATTGATTGGGCCCTTTCAAATCACTATGTCAAGTTTGATTGCTTGGCGAATTATCAAATAATAGATGATGTGAGAGGAAGAGGGAAGACATAATTAATTATCATTAATCAAAAAAATCAGATTGACCATTTGCAGTAAAAAAACTTGCTTTAATTTTGACACCAAAAGAAAAATGACCACAAACGAATATACATCATGGAATAAATATTAGATGATCTATAAATTCTAAAAGTTGAATTCTCATTCATTTAACCGAAACATAACCTTGCCAGAGACTGTTTCATTGGTTTTTGTGACGATTTTAACAATTTGATTGTGAATAAAGTCGATAACATTTTTGACAATAATAAAAAAATTTGAGGTAATAAAATAATATAATAAAATTACATTATTGCTGTCATTTGGCAATAATATTTATAACTTGAATATCCATCTTTAATGATAAAATAGATTTACCATGAGCATACACACACACACGAGAAATCAAATGCAGCTACGATCAACCAAATTCGGCTAGCTTAATCACGCAAACACTTTATTCTATCACTTTTGGTTAGAAAACAAAATGATTATTATTATTAAAATGTTAATTTTACCATCACGATTTACCATATTGAGGTAATATTAAACCCAATATCCGAGTTTTATCATACGCATACGTGCGACACGTGCACAAACGAGAAAAAAACCAGGAGAATTCGAAAAACGTAAGTGGTTTATTTTTTTTGTGCAAAATTTAAAAATACAAAATATAATTTATTCGTAAAAATTTATTTTTATTTTTAATCAAGAGTACACACTGCCAAAGACTGGTTTCGTGCAAGACCTTTTTACTAATTAGTTAACAATCTAAACCAATCAATTATTTACGATTAATAACTTGTTATGGTAATAATCTAAACCATCTGCATGTCTGCATTGGGTAAAATCAAAATGTTACGCTAAAAAAAAAATAAAATAAAATTGACGGATTTGCTTTTATATACACATGTATAATTATATGGCGCGCGTCATACCATAATTCATATAAAAATTGTTTTACCTGATTTGGATAAAATTTGTTATTTTACTCCAATGATTTTATTATCATTATTCATATTCTTTCATATTCTTATTCATATTCTTATTCATATTCTTATTAATTCAATTCATTTCTGTGAAACTCTAATTTTAGTTAGACCGGTTTTATTGTTTTTTATTTTAAACAGTGATTTTCACGGAAATTTTCCAAAATTGTTAAAAAGTCAAAATTATATTCAATGGCAGTTTTTTTTAAATATAGTTTTAATGAATAAAATGAAAAATTCTTTTTTTAGAAGAAACAAATTATTTGTTCCAACAATTAAATCTATTTTAAACATCACTATTATCCACAAATATGATTTTTAAAGTACCAGTTAACGTTAACTTCCAAACTAGAGAGTTTCGCAACTGTGCAAAAGTCAAAGGCTTGACTTTTGACTTTAGGTTTAGTTTTGACATATGCACCACTTATATGTGGCTACACAAAATATAACAATTCTAAATTTCATTATTTTCTTGTAAAATATTCATCTACTTTTGAAGTAGTTAGTTCTAATGACTTGTGAATTATTATTGGGATTTGAATGATTAACGATGATAATTATGATCATTTTATTTGAAAAAAAAATTGATTACTATTCTAAAGATAAAAAATGATTATATTATCAAAAATTCAAAATTTATAAAGAAAAAAAAACTAAACTTTAGGACCCGGTACCAGTTAGTCCTGACCAATAAAAATTAACTATACATATACGTTAAAACGAGAGCTTGACAGGGAGTTCAATCCAAGCCGATTGATCAGATAGAAAATTCTGGCGATCAAAACGTTTAATTTTAATTCAGAAATGATCATCCATGGATCGTAACACTAGCTGAGTTATTAATTAGTTTAATTTTAAGTGTATATTAAACTAATAGTTAAATTGATGCTTGATAAATTAATGATGTCGGACGGCTAAGTAATTTATCAGCTTAGCCGTCTAAGGAATTTTTAAACGGCTTAGACAGCTAAGAACTTGAATAAATCCCAGTTGATGAAAAACTTTTTCAGATGTTATTATTACTATAATTATTATTTCGCCTTTAATGGTTCGAATAAAACAAATAATTCGAATAAACAAATAATTCGAATAGAGCGAATAATTCGAAAATGATGGATAATTCAATAGAACAAATAGTTCGAATAGGACGAATGATTCGAATAGGATAATGAACAGAACGAATAATTCGAATAGAACGAATAATTCGAATAGAACGAATAATTCGAATAGAACGAATAATTCGAATAGAACGAATAATTTGAATAAAACGAAATAATTATAATTCGAATTAAAATAAGGACTAGTATTACGAATAGAAACTCTATGACTTTTATCCTGCTATGATGTATTGTATTTTGTTTTTGAGCAAATGTATGTTTTATTGTCATTCTAAGTGATGCAGGTGGGCCATCTCAATTAAATGTCTATGCCACTGAATTCTTCACTAAAATTCCAGATGTAAAAATGAGTGTTAAGAGATTTTTTTTTTTTAGCCAGCTAAGAGTT